TAAACAAATTCTTCGTTGACTTCAAATATTTGACTTTTCTCGAGCTCTTTTTAAAGCTATTGCCTTTAAACATACAAACATATTTGGAGAAAAGTTTATTTGTTTGAGGAATGAATAGTTGAATCGAGGAAAACACACGTCATCTAGACTGAACCGTAGATTGTTATAAGGCTTTGAACAAAGGCTTATAACTTTGTTGTAAGAACAAAGGCTTATAACTTTGTTATAAGCCTTTGAACTTTGTTATAAGCTTTTAAACTTTGTTATAAGCTTTTAAACTTTGTTATAAGCTTTTAAACTTTGTTATAAGCTTTTAAACTTTGTTATAAGCCTTTGTTATAAGTTATAAGGCTTATAACAATCTGGGTTCAGTCTAGATGACGCGTGTTTTCCTCGATTCAACTTGAATCTTGTTTTGTTTTACATGTTTAGATCCAGCTATTAATTCCTTGACTTAAACCTGGCCTGGACCTGGCCTGGCGTAACATTTCTCTTAAATTTAAGCATCATTTACCCAAGTGTTAGCTGTAAAGCTATTGCCAACATACAAACATATTTGGGGAAGTGTATTTGTTTGAGGAACGAACAGAGGAAAACACACGTCATCAAGGCTGAACCATGATTGTTACAAGCCCCTGAACTTGAATCTAGATTTGTTTAGGTCCGGCTGTTAATTTCTTGGCTTAAACCTGGCCTGGACCTGACCTGGACCTGGCCTGGACCTGGCCTGGTTTGACATTTCTCTTAAATCTAAGCTACATTTACCCAAGTGTTAGTTGTATGTTCGTGTAGTTGAATGAGCTGGCCACCATTTCAAACTAAAGCCATTTTTCCATTTTTTCAACGAAAAACACGTAAAATTCATCAACTTTTTATTCTCCTAATCAACAAAAAACAAACAAAAAAAATATAAAGAAAATTGTGTAAAAGACGAAAATCTTATATTAAAGGCACTTTTCTTTCTTTTCTTTATGACTTTTCCTTTTTTTAAAAGTGAACTTTTTTTTTTACATAAAACCTGGTCAATCTTTACAACAGGTCAATCTTTACAATCTCTGACTGTAGTTTAATTTCCGCCATTTTATTTGCGCAACTAGATCGTTTGCGCAACTCGGCAAAACTCGCCTAACTTTCTTCTAAGTCTGGCAATCTTTATGATTTTGTTTTCATTTTTGTAGATCTCAATAAGGGTAACAAAATGACACCAAAATCATAAAGATTGGCCGACTTAGAAGAAAGAAACGGTACTAGATTCGGGGGTGGCTACTCTGCGCTAATTTTTTTGCGCAACTCGCCATAACTTTCTTCTAAGTCTGACAATCTTTATGATTTTGGTGTCATTTTGTTACCCTTATTGAGATCTACAAAATGACCCCAAAATCATAAAGATTGACCGACTTAGAAGAAAGTTATGGTGAGTTGCGCAAATGACGCAGTTGCCCAAAGTAGTCACAAATAAAATGGCCGAAAGTAGCCTATCCCACGAAAACATAGAAATAGAAAATAGTCACAAAATAGAAATCTTAAATAGAAATCATCACAAGGCGATTTTAAGTATTTGAGCTTTTTTTTTATTGGGAAAAATTCAGAAAAACGGTTTCTTTCATGGCAAGATTTCTTTTGGGTTACAAATGATAAAGATAAAATTTTCAAAAACGATTTTTAAATGAATATCTAATAATTATGGATAGCACAGGCAGTAGTTTAAAAAAGAAAAATCGAAAAATTCATTTTTTTTTCTAAAAAAGTATACCAGAAGGCTTTACAGTGAAGGTTTTATTTATTAATTTGATTCAAGTATCATCTTTAATCAAAATCTTAGATCACTGCGTGCCAGAAAGAAAGCTAAGATATTAAAAAATGATAAAAACATGTTGAAATCATAAAATTCAGGCTTGATCTTTTTCTTTTTCCTTTTGCAATTTCCGTCGAAGGACAACGATGAGACGGTGTTGTCTGAAATGTTGGAATAAATATATATTTCAATTATTTAAAGCCTTTTCTTCAATTACCAATTGTTTTTATAGGGTTTTTAGAGTTCAGTTCAGTTCAATTCAACTATAGATTCAGACATCCATTTCATGGTCGATGAGCACGGTAATGGGGTGAAACTTGGGAAAGATTTTACCCACAAAAAAATGACTTTAGAAAGTTCTTATCGGATTTTGGAAAGCTATCGTTAGCTCTTTTGTTTTTCTTCTTTGAAACCAAGTGATGAATGTAGCTCAAAAGATGTTCTAGGAGCTAGAAAAGGTAGTGTGAAACCCTATAGATTTTACCCATAAAAAATGACTTTGGAAAGTTCTCGTCGGACTTTGGAAAGCTATCGTTAGCTCTTTTGTTTTTCTTCTTTGAAACCAAGTGCCGAATGTAACTCAAAAGATGTTCTAGGACCTAGAAAAGGTAGTGTGAAACCCTATAGATTTTACCCACAAAAAAAATGACTTTGGAAAGTTCTCATCAGACTTTCGAAAGCTATCGGTCTTTTGTTTTTCTTCTTTGAAACCAAGTGCCGAATGTAGCTCAAAAGATGTTCTGGGACCTAGAAAAGGTAGTGTGAAACCCTATAGCCATGTCGAGGGTCAGGGAAACTAGCAAAAAGGGAAGCAAAGAGAGTACTGGCTATTGGAAATATCCCTCCAATGCCCTCCATAGAGGACCATCAAGGACTTTACTGACAGGAAACGTGGAAAAGAGAAAAGAGACCTCGGACGGGTAACCTGATCGCTTTTTTTGGACCCACAAACCCTTCATGTGTGCCTCTTTTTCCCTTTCAGGTAACTCCTTTACTCGAATATTGAGAAATTTGGGCATTATAAAGTACTTGGCTGGGGGACTAACTTATAAAGTAAAATTAAAGATCAATAGATTCATTAGACAGCTATGGGCTATGAAAGAAAGCTGATTGAGATCAAGAAAATGGGAAGATCAAGAGATCAATCAATTTCCCCGATTTGTACAGCTTTTCTTCTCCTTTGTGCATCTTGTACCAGCCGCCTTTTTCCCGCATCCCATAAAAATCGGTCATCAATCTTGACGGCAATGTTCGGAAATAGAGAAATGATATCCATAATACCGTAATCGGTCGTCGCTTTTATCCTCCTTTCTTACCGTTTCCGCCAAAAACCTTAGAATGCCCCATAAAGGAATGGGGTCGTAAAAATTCCTTTTTTCTTTCTTTCTTTCTTTCTTTCTTTCTTTCTTTCTTGCTAAATAGCTAAGCGGTTCTTTACACCTTTCTTGAATAGGATTCATTGGATAGAGCACTTATGCAACTTGGGGATGGTTAGATCTCGGCATTGGTGTAAGAATGAGCTGTAAATCCTCTAATGGATTACCCATTATGGGGCTTTGATTACGTATTGTTCGGGGATTTGCTAAAAATCAGAAACAGGAAATAAGTATTGATTGGACTCGTTGCTAGATCTAGTACTAGATCCAGTACAGGTCTAGTACTAGGTCCAGTGCCAGATCCAGCACTAGGTAGAGTACTAGGTTCAAGCAGTAGGTCAAGCATCTGGCCAGTTAGAAAAGTAAGGAATCGAGTCAGGCGAGGCCGGACAAAGTATTAGATTTAGTTCTGAATCTAGTATTGAACTTTGAACCTAATGCTTGACCTACTGCTGAAACCTAGTACTCTATCTAGTGCTGGATCTGGCACTGAACCTAGTACTAGTCCTGTACTGGGTCTAGTACTAGATCTAGATCTAGATCCAGCAATGAGCCTAACCTGTAACTGGATGTGGTATTTGATCAGGTACTCTTTCCATTCTGTTACACCAAACTAAGTGAAAGTTTTTTCCCCTTAATGCTTTTCGCACTTTTCGCACTTCAAGCCAATTTCCTCTGTTTTCATCTCACAGTTGGAGTCGGCTACACGCTTGAAACGAGAATGGAAATGAAGTGGTTGTCATTTTCTTCCAGACAATGGGTTGATTGAGAGTGGAGTACAACAGAGAGAGAGAAGCAATGAGTGACTTGTTGTCCCTTCAGGGTACATGAGGACCTGAGGGCTACCACTTGTCGAGTGAGTACCCATAGCGGCATGCTGAGATCAGGCCTTGGGCTCTTCAATTCTCCGACACTTGACTATCACTCGAGAGGCTTGCTTTCGCTTTTTGCTTTTTGCTTAAAAAGTGAGCATTCTCTATTTCTATATTTCTGTGGAAATGAGATTGAAATCGGGTTAGATTGAGGAAAGATGATAGGATTGAGCAAAGATGATTGCAATGCAATTTGCAATCAATTTGTAATCAATTTGTAATCAATTTGCAAAGATAAGATTACGATAGCCTGTTACTGATAACTTAGATTATTTGCTGAAAGTAGATCTCTAGATTGGGACTCTAGATGAGTAGGGAGATCTTGATCGTTAAGACAAAATTGAGACAAAATTGATACAAAGATTGCCGGAGCACGAAAGTAAACCAAGATTTGGATAATATTTGGATGCTCATTAATGAAATCAATGAATAAATTTCATATTTTCAACACCGATCACCCACCGCTCAAGCTCGGTCTTCAACTTGTCCGGATCATCACACTGCATGATCGATTCCGAATACGACATTCGGGACATATTCGAAACGGTTCGAGTCAAACGGCTACCAACTGGTGGCGAGGTTTTCCCATTAGTGGCACTAAAAATTTTCAATTTCTTTTTTTCAAAGTCAAAAAATCAAGTTTACCTTTCATTTTTATCAACTCACCGATTTCTCGCCTCTTCCAAATCTTGTGCCAATCGATTCCTCTCCGATTCCACTGCGCGAAGCTTCGAGTTAAGCACCGAATAGTCGGACCGAGCACTGGAAAAGTCTATATAAACAAAAAAAGTGATTAGATTTTTATATTGTTTTAAGTAATTTATATTTAAAATATTTAAAACATTGAATTTTTTCATTCGCTTGAAATTTGAATTTATTCTATCTTGAGTCAAGTTTTTTTTCGACATTTATTTCGTTTTCATTTTCATTTCATTTCATTTTCTTCACTTTTTTTGAATGGTGACTGCTTGGCTTGCACTCAGCATTAATATTAGTAAGTTTTTTTCGGGTTTTAAAATTACTTTTACCTTTTTTTATCGACATTAAACCCTCGACTACTTGTACTTTAAAAATATCGTTGTCTAGATATGGATTTTCGCTTTTTTAAAAATGTTATTTGAAACACATTCCACGTGTTTCACCAAATTTCTTTGTTATTTTCAGTCACGTCGATCGTGATTATCATCGCCGATCTCATCCTTTTGTGTAGGTTCTGCATTCGACACCGCGAATACAAGGTAAGCTTGTTGTTTTTGTTGTTGTTGTTGCTGTTGTTTTTGTTGTTGCTGTTGTTGTTGCTGTTGTTTTTGCTGTTGTTTTTGTTGTTGCTGTTGTTTTTGCTGTTGTTTTTGTTGTTGCTGTTGTTGTTGCTGTTGTTTTTGCTGTTGTTTTTGTTGTTGCTGCTGTTTTTGTTGTTGCTGTTGTTGTTGCTGTTGTTTTTGCTGTTGTTTTTGCTGTTGCTGCTGTTTTTGTTGTTGCTGTTGTTTTTGCTGTTGTTTTTGTTGTTGCTGCTGTTTTTGTTGTTGCTGTTGTTTTTGCTGTTGTTTTTGTTGTTGCTGCTGCTGTTGTTGTTGTTGTTTTTGTTGTTGCTGCTGTTTTTGTTGTTGCTGTTGTTGTTGCTGTTGTTTTTGCTGTTGTTTTTGTTGTTGCTGCTGCTGTTGTTGTTGTTGTTTTTGTTGTTGCTGCTGTTTTTGTTGTTGCTGTTGTTGTTGCTGTTGTTTTTGTTGTTGTTTTTGTTGTTGCTGCTGTTTTTGTTGTTGCTGTTGTTTTTGCTGTTGTTTTTGTTGTTGCTGCTGCTGTTGTTGTTGTTGTTTTTGTTGTTGCTGCTGTTGTTGTTGTTGTTTTTGTTGTTGCTGCTGTTGTTGTTGTTATTTTTGTTGTTTATGTTAAGTTTTAAAGACTCTGAATTGTTTAGATTTTAAATTATTTTCTATATCTGTCTTTTTTTAGATGTACTCCATGCAGAAGCAATTCCAGGCATCACGTGATTCGGCCACTTACGCACGCACTCCCGCACTCGCCATTTATCTCATCGGAAGACAGGTGATTTTTCAATCATTATGCTTTAATAATTAAAAGTTTAAGCACAAATTCGTGCAAAAGATTGTCAAACACAAGTCCGATTTCCTTTTCTTTAGTTAGGAATGAGCGACGAAGAGATTCTCGCCGAATACGAGAAGGATTGGGGCGAACGAAAGCTCATCGTTGAGGTAAAGCTTTAAATGCTTTGGTTAACTATTGTATTTCCCTAATAGTGTACCCCGAGTTGATCACTATTTTACGGGTTTACAGAGACAGAGTTTTTACAGAAACTCAACCCTCTAATCCCCCAGCAAAACCTCATCGTCAGCTATATTTTCCGATCCCACATCGATCGATTCTGATAAGCAATTTAGACAAAGCTTAGGGTGCACTATTCTTAGAGAAAATGCGGTAATCAATCTCGTTTTAGTCAATTCTGGGCAAAGAGGACGAGGATGAGCTGTGCCGTTTCTTTCTGCGCAACTACATGTCACGCTTTATGCAGTACGGATACGCCGAAGAAGCTCTCATGATCTCGGCGCTCAGGTGGAAAGATTAAATAATAAATAAAGCTAAGCTAGTACCATAAATAGCTCTGATTTTTATAAATTCTATACTTCAGGCAAAAAGCGATTGATGAGCAACAAATGATGGCGTCGATTGGGATGAAATGAGAAGAAAACGATAGAAATATCATCATTTTTAACGAAAACAAGATGAAATTTGATAAATTCAATCATTTGAATTGGCTTTTTTGACGTTGTTTTGATTGAGTTTGATTGGATTTGATTGGATTTGATTTAGTTGAGATTTTAAGATTAAAGTTGACTGTTTCAAGTGCAATAATTTCAACAAACCTATCAGCTTCCCGGTGTGCTTGTTCGATCTCTTCCCTCAACATCTCCGCATCTCTTTCCTTTCTCCGTTGCTGTGTTTTCAGCTCTTCCAATTGCTCTTCGAGTTTTGAGAGCTTACCTTCGGATCTGAAAATAGGGATGAACTTTAAAGAAGATTTTAAAGAAGATTTTAAAGAAGATTTTAAAGAAGACTTTACAGAAGATTTTAAAGAAGACTTTACAGAAGACTTTACAGAAGATTTTACAGAAGATTTTACAGAAGACTTTACAGAAGACTTTAAAGAAGATTTTAATAAAGACTTACTAAAACTTGCACCCTTGTAGATACAAGATTAGGATAGCTTGTAATTGGATTACTCTAGCAACTCATTGTGTTTCAATGCTTTACTTAAACGAACTCTTTCGTGTTGTTGTTTTGTGTGACTTCTTTTCTCAGCCTTTCCACGAAACCCTCCAATTTAGCCACCTCATTCGCAAGGCGTGTATTCTCGGCAACAAGCTCAGGATTCTAAAAGAAAACAATATTTGCTTTAGTTTAGATTCTGTGCAAGTTTTCCATATCACAAACCTCAGCTGGTTGAGCGATCTTCTCGCGTAATTCCTCGAGTTTCGTCTCCTTTGCATCAATTTCGGCTTCAAGGCTAAAATATGGGAAAATCGATGTGATTTCAAAAATTTCTAGATGTCAACTATTACTTTTAAGCTTAAAAATGAGAATTCTTGCTTTTTGTTACCGATTAGTTTTGTCTTTCTCTTCTGCGAGACTCCGTTTAGAGCTATCGACATCGTTTTTGAGAGTGGAAATCTGAGCCTCCAATGCGAGCAATTCAGTGGTTTGCGCGGTGAGGGATTCGATCTAAAATTGAGGAATTTTATAAGTTATTATTATATAAATTGTTTATAATAATTCCCAACCACTAACCCTTTCAGTAAGCGCTTTTTCCTTCTCTTGGTGTCGCCTCTCCACTTCGTCGACGTTCCGCCGGTGCTCTGCGTCAAGCTCCTCGAGTTGTTTCTTGATCTGAAACTTTTCTTTTCCTAGCTTTTTGTTTGATATTTGAGAAATCCATTTATCTGTTTAATGGTAAAGTTTAGTTTTTAAAATATCTGAAGTAAATCCTTTCATGCAGCGTACTGGATGTCAAAAGTTGCAACAAAACAAAAAAACAATTTTCTTTTCACAAGCACATCATAATTTTCTTCTCAGCATTGCATAAAATGTGCAACAACACAACACCTTTCCATTTCACTCACCTGTATCCCGAAATCCTCGGCTTCTTTCATTTGTTGTCGACTCGCATCAGCAGCTGATCGAAGTGCCATCAGTGAGTCCTCCGAGGTGGTCAGAGTTGACTTGATTTCGCTGTGCTCTTTTTCCGTCTAGACACAAACACGTATAGAAAACAGAAAAAAAAACACTGAGAATTCCAACTACAATCACAAACATTTGCACATAGTTTTGCATGCATTTATGTGCTCGCAAAAGTCAGCCAATCTTGAAACTTCAGCCAGTTTTGAAACTTCATCCAGTCTTGAAACTTCAGCCTCACCATGTCCAATCTTGTCTCCAATTCATCGATTCGTCGATCTCTTTCCTCCCTTTGTGTCACCAATCTGCGCACACTTTCTTGCAATTCCCGATTGTCCTCCTCCAATCGATGTTTCTCGTCGTCCAGATTTTGTGAGGATTTTTCCTTTTCTTCTAAAATAACTGATTGAAAATGATTTCCATTTTTTTTCTTTCTTACCCTCAAATTGTTTAATCTGTCCCCGACTCGTCTCCGCCTCTTGCTCCAACGCGTCATACTTCTCTTGAAGGGTTGAGAGCTAGAAAAGCTTAGTAAAATCAATAATCAATAGAGATATTTCATAAAACAACTCACCCTAACAGCTGCATCATTCTCCAGTTTCCTCTTCTCAGCCAGTGCTTTTTCTTCAGCTTCTTTTAGCTGAAAAAATGGAAATGATATGATAAAAGATTCTGATAAATGTTTTAAAAAAAGCGAAAATTTAGATAGATTTCTTAAGGATAAACAAACCCTAGCTGTCGCTTCATCCTCGAGTCTCCGCTTCTCAATCAGCACCTTCTCTTCAGTCTCTTTTCGGCACTTCTCCGTAGCTTCAACCAATTTCGCGACACTTTCATCGTTTAGCTAAATCGCGATTTTAATCAAATACAAACTATACATGGTGTTCAATTAAAAAAAAAAGAAACATTTTCAATCCCGGAATTCCTCAGAATTTTTGGTGGCTTAGAAAAGTGGTCAATGTGGTGTCATTTGTGCTTTAAAATTTTTCCATATTTTTTCACGAAAACACCATCACTTGATAGGGGATTTCATAAGATTATGGGTACACTACTGGACAATGAAATATCATATTTGAAAAGCGATCGTCACTTAAATCCAAATTGAATAAATTTTCATCATTTACCCCATTAGTTTATCATTTTCTATATTAGTAAGCTTCGTTTTCATTAACGAAAACAGTTTAGCTGCTTAAAATTATCAATTCTCATTTTGGTACACTACTGGACAATGAAATATGATATTCGAAAAAACGATCGTCACTTTCGCGCGTCTGTAACTCCCTTGTCTTTACCGTATTTCTAAATATTAATATTACCATTGGGTGTAGCCCTTGAAAAGAGCTTTCAGAAAATGAAATAACACTAATAGTTTTGTACTTAAAAACAAGGGAGTTACAGATGCGCGAAAGTGACGATCGTTTTTCAAATATCATATTTCATTGTCCAGTAGTGTACCACCATGAGACCATTAATAGAGTAAAAAATTTTTTTTTTTACCATAAAGTGCAGACTTTCTACTGGCATTGTGGTTTCATATTAGAGCTATTAGAGCTATTAGAGCTATTAGAGCTATTAGAGCTAGCTAAGATTATTAATCAAACATTTTCTTGATTAGAAGTTCCTTGGAAAAAACTAGTCCTTCTCTTTGAAGACGTTGAGTTGAAAGGGCCTTATGTATGAGAGATTTAGTGCATGTTTCAAACTAATAATAATCTGTTTAGTTAATAATCTTAGTTTATATATTCGGTCTAATATGACACCACGATGCGAGTAGAAAGTCTCCGCTTTATGGTAAAAGATTTTATCCTATTTAATGGTCTCATGATGGTACAGTACTGGACAATGAAATATCATATTTGAAAAACGATTGTCACTTTCGCACATCTGTAACTCCCTTGTCTTTGAGTTTAAACTATTGCGAGTGCGAGATGCGAGTAGAAAGGTTTCCGCTTTATGGTAAAAGATTTTATCCTATTAATGGTCTCATGATGGCACTCATAATCTTATGAAATCCCCTATCAAGTGATGGTGTTTTTGTGAAAAAATATGAAAAAATTTTAAAGCACAAATGATGCACAAATGAAATCACACTTCTAAGCTTTAAAGTCACCAGAAATTCTGAGGAATTCGGGTTTGAAAACGTTTTTTTATATTGAACACTCTGTAGAATAACTGAAATGTCACTTGAATTCACTGTTCTTATAAAATTTTAGAAACTAACCCGTTTCCTCTCATCCCTCATCTCGTCTTCCAATCGCTTCTTCTCCGCAAGCAACTCGGTCAACTTGTCCTGTTCACTTGTTTGTGCTGTGGTGAGCAGTTCAAGCCTGAAAATTTGCCGGCATTTCCTAGATAGCATTTAAAAGTCATAAAACTATTTTCTCTGTATCTCTGTATCCTATTTCTTTATCTAAGTCCTTAATTTGAACTCATATAACAACAAAAATTTTGATTCAAAATCGTACGATCAAAGAATCGAGATTGATGCTACTCTATTGCGGTTTACAGGAGCATTAAATGATTGTAAAAATTTCCCCACCTCTCCCTTTCATTTTCTCGCTCTCCCTCAGCCACTTCGGCTCGGTTCTTCCAATCGAGGCACTCGGACTAAATGAGAGAGCAGATTCTGGATTTTTTTTGTCAAAGAGAGTCGATTATTAACGAAAACCGCTAGCTCAGAACTTTGACTAGCCCAAAAGCCCAGACAAAGACCAAGAAAAAGACTTTGGCTTGATCTAGTCTTGGTTTTTGGCTTTTTCGGCTAAACTTGATTGTCACTGCTCTATTCAATAGCTTACAAAATGTACGTTGCTCACCTCCAGCCGATCGATTTCATCTCTCGCTGATCGGAGCTCTTGGTGCAAGGTGGTGATCTCGGATTGAAGCTCGCTGAAAAAAGCTTTGTTTTATAAAGCTTCAATTTCTATGGTATAGTAAGCGTTGTAAGTAGTTCAATCTAGTATTTGTACTATACAATTTGTAAGTTTACTTCCGGAAAAATCATTAGGCTTTGTTATTTTGTTGTTTTTTTGGCGAATAAAGGGATAGCTTTAGCGTTAATCGTTAGTTTTTTTCAAAAATTTTACCGTTTCTTTTTTAAAATCACTATAGAAAATAGTTATTTACTTACTGTTTAGAGAGTTTTTTTTTGATTTTTGATCAGAATCGAGCAAATTTCTTGAGTTTCAAGTTTTGTAAGCTAAAAGTTTTTGCGATAAAAAAGAAATCAAGGCTTTTTTCTTAAGTTTAATATTTTCTGATATAACTGGATCGCTTTTTTTTTTTAAATGATTAGTTTGTTAGTGAAAGCGAAACCTGTTCTCGTGCCTGGCCGATTGCAGTGATGTCATCAGCGTTTTCAACTCATCCGCCACCGATGCTTTTGCCTCGAGTTTCTTCTTCTCAGCTTCGAGTTCAGCTTTCTATAAGGAAAATTTAAGGAAAATATCTCAAAAGCTTTAAAAATATCTCCAAATTACTTTGGATTTAAATCTTAGTCACCTCTAAAAGGCTAGTTTTTGATCTAATGAGCTTGTAAAAGGTGTGAATCTAGTTCATCAAGAGATTTTGCTTAAATTTTTCTTTTTTGACTATCCACTTGAAGATCTACTTATCCTATAATAGAGAAAAATTCTAGATAAACAAGAATTACATCTATGCATTAGATGATGTGCGTTTTACCTCTCGTTCCAGCGCTCGAATCTTGCCCGCATCATCACCAGCCTTTCGCCGTAACTCATCCAAACGTCCCTGGAGATCCGTTCTAGAAATGGATTTATAGAATTTATATAATTTATAGGATTTTATACATTACATAGATTAAATCGTAAATTTGCATAATACAAAATTTTCTATGTAGTAATGCCTTTCTAAGTAATCTAAAATGATAGTCCAGCATAAAGAAAAAACTTTCGATTACTTTAAACTTGAACTATTACATTTGAAAGTCTAATAATTTATCATTAAAGTATCATAGGATTGGAGATTTTATAATTTTAAAAAAAAACTCACATCTCATGCTGTTTCCCGTCAACCATTTTCTGTATCTCTTCGACTCTTTCATTTCTTCGTTGCACTTCTGCTTGTGCTTCACTCAATTTCCCCTCAAGTCCTTTCAAATGATCACACTGCGTCTCCACTTTAGACTTAAGCTCGCGGATTTGTTCCTGAACGTTATGAAAACATTTTTTTGACCTCATAACAGTTAATAAAACATTTTACAAGTAATTCTTGATACACTTAGCTATCAAAAAAACAATAAACCCAAAGTTTTTGATCAATCAAATTAGGATTTGGAAACAAGTTTTAAGGAGGCTTGTGAGTTAAACCTGCAATTGTAGATGTTGCTCTTGATGTTTCACTTCGATTTCCTTTTCTCGAGTCTCACCAGCTACAAGCTGCTCGCGAAGTAAAGTCACCTGAAGAATTGATTTTAAAACATTCGCGACGAACTGACCCACCGATTGGTTTAAGTCAAAATTTAGTGAAACCCAATGGACAGATTAAGCTGTAAATTTGTATCTAGGGGTTTTCGGGATCGGGAAATTCGAATCCGGTATTAGTTTTTGACTAGAGAAACCCCAAATACTCGAAATAGGAGGTGCTCGTTTCGGTCATTTTGAGGAGTTCTCAACTTTGACATTAAAGAAACTTTTCTCCTAGTTGATCGATTTTGATGCTTTTGATATTAAAGGATTCCCTGAGAGCTCTTCTAATAAAAAAGTGAAAAGAGATCGCAAAAAAAAAAAAAAATGTTGAAAAATAACAAAGTTATTCATTTTTTTTCTGAAAAAAATTCCGGTTATTTTGAAAAATTTTCATGTTTACATAATCGCGTGGCTTCTGGCAAAGGGTTTTGATATATATGCACTATAAATGCAAAAGATTTTCCATCATTTTGATCACTTTTGGGTTTAATTACCCAGCATTGCTTTAGCAACATAAAATTTAGTGTTTGCATACCGTAAATACTGTAATAGTACCCCACCACCATGATGACGGTGCGGAGTGTTGCGTAGTCTAACTTTGAACGAGTTTTTCTCGACACTGGTTTATGCTAAAATGCGCGTTTAGGTATCAAAAAAATAGCTGAAATTCAGGGCTATTTTTTTTCATACTAAAGACGCATTTTTTGAAAGTACGGGCGCTTTGAAAAAAATGAAATACTAAAAAACTTTTGCGACTACGCGACTGTACGAGGGGGAGTGGGGTACTATTACAGTATTTATGGTAAGTATTTCGGTCGCATTCGGTTTTCTCATCCCGGAAAACCCCCGGAACCACGTTTTCATCTTGTTCAAATCGATTTTCCAGCTAAAGTACGCGCTACTACTATTTCCGATCTCTTTAGTTCAAAAAATAAAACCGGATTCGAATTCCTCACCCCAAAAAAACCTGTGGGTAAAAATTTTCTGATCTAGCATAGAAATCTATCGTCCGTATAGTCAGTTAAGCGAAAAATGGCTTCGTTTTGAATGTGTTATTCAGCTGATTTATTTTTTTTTGCGTACCTGTTCAGTCTGTGATCCACTTTGTGTCTCCAATTGCTTTTGCAATGAAAGCGCTCTCCTTGCCTCTGTCTCCGCTAAAGCTCTCGCCGTTTGCCCCTCGGCTTCAGCGATCTCCAATTGGGATTCCAAAGAGTTCACCCGAGTGCGGTAGCTCTTAAAAAAGCTCTACTTTCAAGGAAAGACGTTTTATACTCTGGAACTAGTCGATTTTCTCTTCTTTCCCATTTCTACTCACCTCAACTTCTTGATCTCGTTCGTTTGAGTGCTTCTGCATTATCTCGAGTTTCTCATGCAAGCGTTGAACTTCTGAGTGAAGAGTCGCCTCCTTTGAACGCAATGATTCGAGCTCGTGTTGGAGTTCCTAAAAAAACGGGACTTACAACTGCTTGAAGTTAACATTATGTCTTACAAAATTTGTCAAATGAATAAAACTAACCCGAATGGTCTTCTCGTGTTTCTCAAGTTTCTCACTTTTCTCTGTCAAATCAATTTGTAAATCAGTTGCCCTGGCCTCTTCAGCTCTTTCCGTTTTGTTAGCAATCTCCAAGACATTCTCAGCCTCTTTTTTCGCTGCCGAGGCCTCAATCTCAAGAGCTGCTACCTGAAAAATGACTTTCTTAATGTATCTAAGAGTTATGTAGACCAATAAAATGTATTTTTAAACTTAAAAAAACCCTACTCGATCCTCGGCTGTCTGCAATCGATCCCTCCACTCGTCGACTTTCCGCTGTGCGTCCATGTCCGACTCAGTGGCCTCGCGTCGAAGTTTAGACTCTAACTAAACATTTGACTGTAGTTAGATTAAGATTAGTCTAACATTTTTGTGTTCCTAGTGATCGTGATTTACAAATGGATCTTAATTAGAAGAAAAATAGACTAGAAGAGTTTTTCGGTTACCTCTCTAGACTCGGCGCGCGTCTGATCAAGCTGTGTGGTGAGAAGGGCGAGTTTCGCGACGAGTTCTCCATTCTAAATCATTTTCAATCAATCTCTTTAGGCAATATTTTCAAAGAAAGGTTTACCAAAACGGTTTAGTAGAAAGGCTCATTGTTTCTAATGTACTTATTCTAGGGAAGTTGTGAAAAAGGTAAAATAAACATTGACCAAAAAAAGGTATAACAAACCTTATCCTCGACACTCTTCACCCGATCTCTCCACTCATCAGATTTCTTCTTCGATTCGACCTCGCTATCGGTGGCCTCTCTACGGAGCTTTGTTTCAGCCTGAAAAAAAGAACTTTAAATTAAACCTTAGTCTAGAAAGATTGTGTTTCTAGCATTTTCGAGCACAAAGTAAAGTTGGTTAAAACTTTTTGCTCACCTCTCTCATGTCAGTCTTCGCATGGTCCAGCAGTGAGTTTAGTTGCGCTAACTTTGCTAGCAATTCGCCGTTCTGAAAATTCAGGATTTGAAGATTTTCTTGTAACATCGTTGAGATTTATGGAAAGCTGGACTTATGAAAGAAGCAAGAAAATGGGCATATTGAAAAAGCTAATGACTGGAGAAAGATTTTGTTTAAAAAAAGCCTCAATAGAGTCATCGTTGAGGCTAATGGAAAGCTGAACTTATGAAAAGCTGGACTTATGGAAGAAGCAAGAAAATGGGCATATTGAAAAAGCTAATGACTGAACAAATCAACAATCCTTTTACTTACTGACATTCTATTTATGAGAAAACTGTACCAAACTTATTATTCTTGAACTGTGGTAACTAAAACTTGCACTCACCTCCCGTTTCGAGTCCTCGAAATCCCTTGTGATTCTTGTTCTCGACTCGAGCGCTTCCCTCTCTTCTCTTTTCAACTTCTCCTCAATCTCCAAACGTTCTCGATTTGTCACCTCCAATTTAGCCGTGAAATCAGCCAACTGCTTCTTGAGAGATAAAACCTAGAAACTATTGATAAACAACTCTACAAAATCTCTTTGTTACCCTCCGAAAGTATATTTATAACAAGTACGCACCTCAGTCTCGGCTTCTTTCGTCTGTTTGTCCAATCTCCATTGCAAATCTTGTACCTCTTGCTCTAGTCGTCCTTTCTCTTCAGCTAATTTCTGGATTTGACTTGTGTCAACCTTAGCGGGTTCCTGGAAATGAATTTAATGTATTAATGTAATGTTGATGAAATGAAATTCGAAACTTTACCTTTGCCAACATCAATGATTGCAGTGCAGCCGATTTCAACTCGATCTCTTTCTCGAGCTCTCGTTTCTCGTTGACAAGCGATTTCTTCTCAATCTAAATTCTCATTTCATTTTCAAATTAACATGTACTTTTATATGTACTTTATGTACTTTTATTCTAAAACCTCAAAAACCCTACCTCAAATGTGTTCTTTTGCAACTCCAAATCTTGTTGTAATCGCCGCTGCAAATCTTCAATTTTTCGCTGATTTTCCTTGCTGCTACTAGCCTAAATATAAATTAAACGGTAAAACTGAATCTAGAAATATTGATCTCACCTCAGCATCGGAGGCTTGCCTCTTGAATTGATCCCTTTCCCCAGATAAACGCTCATTCTCACTCTGACTCTCAGCCAATTGCCCGATCAACGAGTTGAGCTGTAAATAAGAATAAATTAAGTTTTGTTCAAGATAAAAAGAAAAGAAAAAAAATGAACTAATTAGGGTGCTTTAAATCTATAAAGATTAAGCCTATGGTAGAGAGATTTAGTCGCAAATTATGTAGCAAAACGATTTTCAAGTTCACAAGTAAAAACACTAATGAGTTTAGTATTTTGATCATAAATCACCTGCATGAAAAGCTCTTGTTGCTCGTTTTCCTGTCTGTCGAGCTGTTGGGCAAGGTCGCGCTGAAGGTAAATTGATTTTAGATTAGAACATTTCACATCTTATTCTTAAGCTAATTAAACAAAGAATGACGTGATGAGATCAATAAAGTTAAAGTTAAAGTTAAAGTTAAAGTTAAAATAATGTTACCTTTTCGGCCATCAGCGATTGCACGTCGGCGGGCAGTCGGCTTTCGAGTTGTTTCTTCTGGGTTTCCCATTGTATCCTAAAATTTAGACTTTAGTTGAATTAGCTTAAGAAAAATGATCGCAAATCTCGGGGTAGGCTAGTTTCCGCAACAGGGTCATTTGCGCAACTCGCCATAACTTTCTTCTAAGTCTGACAATCTTTATGATTTTGGTGCCATTTTGTTGCACTTATTGAGATCTACAAAATGACATTAAAATCATAAAGATTGGCCGACTTAGAAGTAAGTTATGGTGAGTTGCGCAAATGACCCTGTTGCGGAAACTAGCCTACCCCCAAATCTCTGGTAATCGCAAGAAATGACCCACCTATCTTTGTCCGCTTTCTGCACTCTTTTCTTCAGCGTTTCCACCTCATTCGTTCGATCCTTGAGCTCTTTCTAAAAAGAAAAATTTGTATAAAAAGTAAAAAAAGTAAAACAACGGGTTTTTCTTGATGTTTTACAATGTTTTAAACAATTTTCTTTCATTTACCCGAATGCTATCGACCTCTTTGAGACTGATCATCGCCTCCGAAGGGGCATTTGGCAACTTTGATGAGAGAATTTTTTAAAGTTTTGCAAAATTTCGAGAAATTTTGAGAAATTTTAAGAAATTTCTTTCCAATTCCAATTCCAATTATTTGCTTTATAGAATTTTATCGAATTCTCATTTGTGCATAGAAAATCTCCTAAAAAAAAACAAAATTTTTGATGAAACAAAATGGAAAAGCAACGAAATTATGGAAAACTTTCAACAAAAAGCAATTTTTTTGAATAATATTATTTAGAAAACGCTTAAAGAAACGTTGAATTCTCGAGCTGAATTCTAACGCACTGAATTCTCGTGCTGAATTCTAGCGCATTTAATCATCGAGCTGAATTCTAGCGCATTGAATCCTCATGTTTCTCGTTATTTATCGATGTTTTATTTGGAGAAAGCAAGAATTTGTGGTCAGGCGGTGGTCAATTGAAACTATTAAAAAACATTGTCAATTTTTTCGAAATTCTCTCAAAATTGCCTTAATTTCATTTAAAATCTATAAGCAATATCTAAATAAGCAAAAAAAAAAACTTTTAACCCAGCTGCATTTAACGTATCAATCAAGAAATAAAGATCGAAAAAAAAGAGAAGAAAAGAGAAAAGTCGGTTTGCGAGAAGAAAATGACAACAATCATCAAGGTCGTCAGCTGATTTTAAGGGTAAAAAAGAATGGAAGAATGAAAACAGTTGATTAACACAAGCAAAAACAGGTGTCACTTTTGGTACTTTCTAAGAGTTTGTCCAGAAATTCAACCTTTGTCCAAGGTTGAAATAAAAACATTGAAATGGTAGAAATTGAAAAAAATAAAGTGCTTTCTGATAAAATAAAGGATAAAAATAGAAATGTTTCAATCTTGGAATGGGTTGAAGAAAATTTATTTCAAAAAAAGATCGATACCCGGATCGATTGGTTATTTGTTTCATAGAAAAGAGAAAAAAAGAAAGGAGGCGAGTCACCCGAGACAGTCTTTTTGTGAAATGAAAGGGAAAGAAAGAAAGAAAGAAAGAAAGAAAGAAATAAAGAAAGCAAGAAAGAAAGCAAGAAAGAAAGAAATAAAGAAAGCAAGAAAGAAAGAAAGAAAGAAAGAAAGAAAGAAATAAAGAAAGCAAGAAAGAAAGAAAGCAAGAAAGCAAGAAAGAAAGCAAGAAAAAAAGAAAAGAAAGAAATAAAGAAATAAAGAAATAAAGAAAGGAAGAAAGCATGAAAGAAATGAAAAAGGCATATGTTTAAGAAATTTTGAAGTTTATTAAATGGAAAGCTTGACCTCTGTGACAGCTAGAAGCTGCTGTTAAAGCTAAATAATTTGATAACTAAATAACTTTCTTAGCTAAATAGTCAAGTCTAGATTAATGGGGTTAAGGCTAAGAAAATGTTGAGGTAACCCTACGAATGTTTACCCATTTCCTCTTTCCCATTCTTTTTACTCTTTTCCGGACAAGCGCCTGACCACAAATTCTTGCTTTCTCCAAATAAAACATCGATAAATAACGAGAAACATGAGGATTAAATGCGCTAGAATTCAGCTCGAGAATTCAATGCGCTAGAATTCAGCTCGAGAATTCAATGCGCTAGAATTCAGCTCGAGAATTCAATACGCTAGAATTCAGCTCGAGAATTCAATACGCTAGAATTCAGCTCGAGAATTCAATGCGCTAGAATTCAGCTCGAGAATTCAGTGCGCTAGAAAGGATCGATTTTTAAAGTTTTAAAAGCACAAAAATAAAGAGATTATTTAGATTTAAGCTTATGTTTTAAGAGAAAAATTGTAAGATTTTTGTTTTATATTTAATTGTTTAAGCCTTAATTAGATCATTTTCTTTGTTTAATTCAAAATAAATAAAAAATAAATGAAAAATAATGAAAAATGAAAAATCAGAAGCTTTTAAATCCAATAGAAAAGCGAACACCAAATAGAAAGCAAAATCGGTAATGAAAAAGTGATAAGAGAGGGGGAAAAATGATGATTTTCAACGAATTTTATGTAATCAGCACTATGAAATACGAAAAAAGTGTCGAATTCAACTAAAATTCTTCTTTTGAACTGTCAAAAAGTTTAGAATCAATAGTTTTTTCGCTTTTTTTTTTGACTTAATTGACTTAATATCTTTATTTTTAAATAATCTTAAATAAATTAACGTTTTTTTTCATTACTTTTACACATTTCCCTATGTAACTCGATCCATATTTGACAAATTTTTTAACGGAAATGCTCAAAATGAGAAATGCTCGAAAAAAAGAAAAGAAATCAATTGGTTATATTAGCTTTTTTCAAAAAAAAAAATTCTATTAATTGAATTTAAAAATTGAAATTTGAATTTTTCTCAAAATCTTTCTCAAATTCCCGTATTATTTCAATGAAATTTCAATGGAATTTCAATTTTTTCAATTTTTTTTTTGAGAAATTAATCATCCTTTGACTGTTTTAAATGATAAACAACAATCACTTTTTCTTTTCTTTTCACAAAAATTTAATCATTTTTTTTTGTTTTCAAGAATTTGAGAAGAGTTTTGTGATGGAATTGTGGACAAAATTGTGGACAAAATTGTGGACAATAATGTCAACAATATTGTCAACAATATTGTCCACATTGTCAACAACATTGTCAACAATGTTGTCAACAATATTATCAACAATATTGTCAACAATATTATCAACAATGTTGTCAACAATATTATCAACAATATTGTCAACAATATTATCAACAATATTGTCAACAATATTATCAACAATATTGTCAACAATATTGTCAACAATATTGTCCACATTGTCAACAACATTGTCAACAATAGAACAACAATTTAATCGATAATTCTGACCTATTGAAATCAAAATCGAGAAGAAAATGTGGATGCAATGGAAAAAAGGAAAAGGAAAAGACGATTCCACATCGATAAGTCGCTTTTCACAAAAAGCGTCAACAAAGTTAGGGAGTGGACAAGAGAGGGCAAGGCGTACAGGCTTGTATTGACAGAGACGAGCCTCTTCTTTGCTCTTTTTCTTCTTTTCTATTCCTCTATTTCTTTCAACTCCTTTTTGAAAGAAATTCTCTTTCAAGACCCTAGTGGAGTTGATCTGTGTCCCAGTCTAACCTCTCTCTCTTTTTCTCTCTCTCTCTCTCTTTCTCTTTCTCCTTTAACCCCCTCTTCTTTCCATTGTTGTGGTCACGATCGAGACTTGAACCAAGGATTTCAAAAAACAACAAATTACCTCTAGAATCTAAGAACCGCTTTCTCAAAGAGACTCACAAGAGGCCACAAGACTTGCTCAATGCATTGAGCAAATCTGGTAAGATTTTAAAATTGACACATTGAAATGTGTCAATTTTAAAATCTCACCAGAGTTCTAGATACAACAACGGTATTAAAAGAAAATTCAACCTTGGAAATCGTTTTCTAAATTGAAAACAGAGTGAGTTGATGGTTTGTGAAAAGGGAGAACATGGAGAAGAGTTGAACAAAGAGATCAACACAACAGATTTGCATACGAGAGAGCGATGAAATGAAGAAGTGAATGAAAAAGGGAGAATTGAATAAATTTTAGTCGAATTATTCCTAGAATCTAGATAAACTAAAGTAAAAATATTCTTTTCTATCTTTTCTAAATTGAAAAACGAGGCCATGGACAGAAGGCCATGGACAGGAGGCCATGGACAGGAGGAGATGGACAAGAGCCCATGGACAGGAGGTCATGGACAAGAGGCCATGGACAAGAGGCCATGGACAGGAGGAAATGGACAAGAGGCCATCGACAGGAGGAGATGTTCCCATTCTACCCCTGCACATTCAAATAATTCGTTGAGGTGTGTGTGTGTGTCCTGAAGGGATGGAGGGAAGTGGTGGAGGGTGTCCGTGACCTAGCAACCCCCCTTTCCACCCTCAGTTCAATCTCTCTTTCCCCTCTTGAGTGCCTCCTCTGGCTATTGACAACCCTCAACCCTCTTTCCCCTGACTCTCCCATCCCCCCGCCCCCCTACTGACAACCATTTTAACTCCACGTTTCACTGTTTCACTTTGATGGTTTGTTGAATGTATTTATCTAGTATCTAGGTTTATCTAGTAAATCAAGAACAACTCCCATCACATCACATCAAGATCAATCATATCAGAATCAGATCAGAAATCTCAGAGCTTGTAAGCTAACTAGAAGCTAGATTTGGTCTAGATCTAGATCTGATTTTTGTTTGAAATTATTGTAATCAGAAACAAGCCAGGAAGGACAAAAGCTTTAGAGATTTACAAGAAATGAAAAAAAGCGAGATTTCAATACTGAAAAAATGAAATCAAGAGAAGAAATGGGGAAAGGGGAAAATTGTGAAAGATAAGACCTCTTCACTCTTCCTTTTTTTCTTTCTTTTTCTTTTTTTTCTTCTCCCATTTCGATTCCACGTATTCTATCAAAAACCAAGAAAAGAAATCGAAAAAGTCAAGAATTTGAAAGAAAAATCTGATTTTCGCATGAATTATGGGGGGATTTTGAAAAAGTTAATCATTGAAATTGAAAAAAAACAGTTCTAAGCTCAAGAACTTTGAAATAAAATGAAAAGCTTTTCGTTTTTTCAAAAGAGATTATGCAAATAGTTGAGCAAAAGAGAAAAAAAAACTTTTGAAAAGAAAAATTCAGAAAGAATTTCGATCAAAATTGAGGATTCAACTAACAAAAACGAATACCGTATTTTCTCTAATAGTAGTGCACCCAAAGCTTTTGCCTAAATTCCTCAAAATCTCGAGAAACGCTGATCAGAACCTATCGATGTGGAGTCGGGAAAATGTAGCTAACGATGAGATCTAGTGGGGGATTTGAGTGTTGGACTTCTGGGAAAACTTGGAAAGCCGTAAAATAGTCATCAACTCGGCTCGCCGGGAAATAAAAAAAAAGATTAAAAATTAAATTCTTCTTTAAACGTGATTTAAAAAAAAAAAAAGAAATTTTTATAAAAAAATTTCCTTCTTTTAAAATAAAGAAAATATAAAGAAATTAAATTAA